GAACTAGTCTAGCTGTAGTGTTTATGTTGACAAAGTTTCAGATCAAAACTCATTAATGTAGCTTTGCTGCAAACGTGAGATTCTATAGAGAAAATTCAGTAAAACCTCGATATATTGCTAGATATAATCTATGGACACAAACTCTTTTTCGGGTATTCATAGTTCACTAAGACCTGCAAGGTGTATTAGATCCTGACTCAAAAGCAAATTTGTACCTGGGAATGTTTCCTTGTTAGTGTATTGAGGAAAGAACTAAGTAGTGATTGGTTGCTGTTTTAAAGAACTAACTTGTCATAGAAAAATCGAGCACTAGAACAAGTTATCAAAAAAAGATTGCCTAATATAGCTAGCTCTTGAAAAAAGAATTATTCAATAAAATATTTCTCCAAGAAAAAATCTTAGTCACCACACCCAATTCCGAAAGAAAAAACTTCATTTTTAAATTTAGTGCTGAAAATAAATTAGTCATTGGATCCATTTCTGATAAAAAAAAGAACGGATCACTATAGATAGTTCTTGGAAAGAAGGGTAAATCAATACATCCTTTGTCAAATAAAGAACTTGTCACCGACGTCGATGACATATAGAAAAATAAAAATAATGACAAAAGATAACGTATTATTTTATTTGACGAATTTTTAATAAATATTACATTTTTAAGACGAATTACATGATAAATAAACAAGTGATAGTCGAATACGATTTAGAAAAAAGTCAGAATAAGATTCAGCATAACGCATCAAAATGAACAGAGGTACTTTGATGATAATCACCAAGACGTATGATGCTTGGTATACTTCGAAAAAGTTGTCTTCAATTCCAAAATAATGAGCTGGAACAATAGCAAGAAAAATGAACGGAGCTAATGAACCTTCGATTAACCATTGAAGAAAATCCTGATATATTAGAGAATCATTTGTATTGAACAATTTGAGCCATGTGTAGAGGAAACTAATAAATGCATAGACGAATATCAATTTTATTTCTCGTTTCATTAAAATGGTCATAGATAAGAATCTTTTTTCTGATTCATACGTATCGAACAAATCACTTTCAATAAAATCATCGATACGACTATAATGGTGATGAAAGAATGACATAATTATCAATAATAATGGAATAACAATATAGATACCAATACCAGCCTCAATAGAGCGTGAAAGTACGAAATGATGGATAAGGCGAGTTTTCATACTAATATCACACAATGTTTGTTTATATTCTATTGATAAAGATTGATCCGATAATAAGATCATCGTTTCATTGAGCAATAACATTTTATTGATGAAAATAAAACTGTTTCAATTTGAAAAATACTATATAGTTCTTCAGATTCAGATGAATAACGACCTCATTTCATTTGATCGTATATATCATACAAGAGGAAAGAAAGGACAACGAATCTTTTCGCTTGTCTATTTCGATCAATAAGAATAAGAGAACGAAAGATGGCGTACATTTCTATATTTTTGACAGCGTTTCCATAAAGCATATGAATTTCGATAAACAAATATGTAAACTTCATAAAGAATTTTTAGAAATACACATATCTAGAATAAAAAAAAAGAGTGAGAGAATGTAGATGTTTGTGAAGAAAAGTCTCATTCATATCTACACTGGGCTTACAATTTCTTAAAGCATGGCATACAACTATTGTAAACTCGAAAGAAAATAAATAAGTCCTTACACATTAAATTAGCATACAATGGCAAGTTATTTGAAAAGTCGTGTGTTGCTCAAATGCGCGTAATTTTCCATTGACAAATGTAGAGTGAGATGGGGTAAATGTAGAAGAAAAATCGAGGGTGTTTTGTAAAATGCTTATATCTTTTTTATTTTTCAATATTTTAAGAAACTTTCTTCACAAACAATGTAGAGGAATTTCTCCTCTATCTATCTATGAAATCAGTTTTCAAAAATCCTGTAGTATAAGGTAGTGGTGATGGATTTCCTGAGACCTCCATCAACATTATACATTTACCTCACTTGCAGTAAATGTATAATCGTGCCGGCGCAAATGGGGTAAATGTATAATCTCAGCTATTTTTGACTTGATTACTAAAACCACATTTATAATCGATCTGTTTGATTGTTTTAGAAAATTTTTTCGCCAATAAATAGCTGAAGATTTTCTCTACGATGCTTGACTATTTCAACTATTTTTATAATAAAGATCAAGTTTCGACAAAATTTTTTCAGAGAGCTTCAATAAAAAAATTTCTATACATTTACCACACTTGGGGTAAATGTATAATCGTGCTGCAGCAAGTGGGTGTGGATGCAGGTGGGTGTGGGTGTGGGTGTGGGTGTGGGTTGGGTGTGGGTGAGTCTAGCCTTGCTCCTTAACTACACACATGCTACACCCACATCCACACCCACACCCACACCCACACCCACACCCACACACCTACACCCACACCCACACCCACACCCACACCCACACCCACGGCGCATTGCAGTACGACACAAGGAGCTCACTGCGACACATTTTGTACGACACATGCGACACATTTTCTATTGGTTATTTTCGAAAAGCATAATTATTTCAATTTTTTTCTGTTCAATATAATTCCATTGAATTATTTCTATGGTGAAAACTCTAGCAGGTTAGATCCTGAGATCTGTCCTGCTTCGAGTTGATCTGATTTGCATCAGACGACTCCAATGTAGTCCTTTCTCGATGAATCGAGATTGGCATTTTCTCGACAAAGACTATCGAGAAATAATTTAGAAAAAAAAGAATATTTTGAAAGTTCATCTTTCTTACGTTCAACCACGTTGTTTATATATCGTCATGTCTGCATAATAAAAGGGTGAACGACTAGTTAGCAGACAGAACGCAAAAAATTTGTGTGCGACACATTCTGTGCACGACACATTTTTCTGCTGGAGTGCACGACACAATAATTCACGACACATAAGCACGACGCATTTTAATTTAGTGTGCACAACGTGAAGCTCTGGATAGAAAATTTCGAGTGGGTATTAGAATAGTACATAGGTGTCCGTATGTAAAATCAAATGATTTATTTGTAATAACAAATGAAAAACCACTCAAATTCTACGCGCTGAAATATATTAAGAAGAGACTGAAGAATATTTACAAGTCTGATTTATGTCGATCAATTGTTTTAGAAGACATTTTCTATTGGAATCAGTTTAGGAAAAGGGGAAAAGACTTGTTAGGTCAATTCTTCAGATTAAATAGAGTGAAGAAAATGATGAATAAGCATGAAACGTTATTAATCAAATGGATTGAGTTCGCGTATGGATAAAAAATTGTGTGTCATTTCCCTCTGTCCCCTTGAATGATTATATAAAATAAGGAAAGTGGAAGGAGGCCTTGCCTATGACAAGGAGAATCACGGCGCCTAACCCCATTTATTTCCTTTTATTCCTTTCTCTCTTCGTTTTCCCTCTTCCTTTTTTCCCCTTGTAAGCACTTCAGACTGTAACAATAAAATGCAGAAACAAAAAAAAAAACATACCTACATTCACACCCACACCCCACCCACACTCACCCACACCCTTCATTTCATGTTACATTATTGTCTATCAATTTTTTGGCAATAACGACAACACATATGGGATGTGCATTTCATCTATTTCATTACATTCAGCTTTTCTTCAAGTTATTTTTTTTTCAAACACATTCCCCGTAAAATTCTGCATCTGTATAAAGCAACCCAGTTAGTCTACTCAGTTTTCTCTTATAAACATGTTCACGATAATCACTCAAAGAACAAAGAGAAAACGAAGAGGAGGACTCATGTCCTTTGAATCGGCTAAAAATTGCCGATTAATCCCGATTCATCGAAACGATAATCGTGAGCTGAATCGCGATAGAATCGCCGATTATTTCCGATTATTTCAGCGATTTTTACGATAAATCGTGATTTTATGCAAGATTTAACCGTCTGTTTACTGATATTTTCTACTATTTCATTGGTTCTTTTGGAGACACATATTTGGATTTTTTCTTGAATTTAATTCAATTTTTTTTGTTCTCAAGATCCAAGCCGACCAGATCGTGCGATCTGTCCGATCTCGAGCTGGTCCGATTCTTATCAGACCGCTTCAGTGTAGTCCTCTCCAGATCATGGATCGAGATTGGCATTTCCTTCATTAAAAATAACCAAGAAACAATTTATCAGAAAAGTATATTTCGAAAACTTATTTGTTATGCATTGAATGGCGTTGTTTATATATCCGTGTGTGTTCATAACAAAACGGTGAATGAATAATTGTCATGATTTATCAATGATTTTTGAAAATCAGCTCTTCTCCCATAATCGCGATAAAATCTGATATAATCGTCGATCTTTTAAAGAAATACGATAAATCACGATTTTACGCCAATTTTTTAGAAAATCGCGAAAATCGCGGTGATTCTCACGACATGGGGACGGACTTTTTCTTTGGTAAGATAAAACCATTGTTTGGCGAGAGAGTTGTTGATTTTGATTCGTTAGCACATATGACTAATAGTGAGAAAATGATTTTTTTTTTCTTTCTGCTGTCGCCATCACTTCAGTTACTAAGTTTCCTTTTTATTCTTCACAATAAGAGAAAACAATCACTTATCTGAATAGAAACTAGTGACATAAAGGCAAATAAACTCACTTTTATCAGTTTCGTTTGCGTTGGAGGATAAATTGCATTCACTTTTCTCTGACACGATGGTAAATGAAGACCGTCGGCAATACAGAAAAAAAAGCTTTTTTTTCATCCCGTCAAACGCAATTCTGATGAAAGTACAAAGAGAAATTCGATGTTTCGCTCAGCATAGCGTAAAGAACAGAGTCGGAAGAAATGCTTTTTGCTGTATCACTGTGATTTGATTGTGTTTTTTCCAACCAATCGCTCAATTGCTAAAAAAAATATTACAGTGACACAATCATTTTACAATATTAAATATGCAATATGATCTTGTCATTATATTTTGTCTCTCCTTGTTCGTTCGAATTGGTCATGTGCAAGCACGACATTTACATGACTCTGCAATGCTGAAAAATAGAGATGAGTTTCAATTGATTTGGTTGTATAATGCTCTGGATCAATCGAATAGCACTCGTTTTAGTCAAGAATCTGTATATGCATACGATTCAACTATTCAATTTTTTACTGATGTATACCAATGCTTTGAAAGGATTGATGAGATAGACAATCGAAAAGTATTTTTGATCGTTTCTCACTCGCTTCAGTCAGATGTTCTCTGGCGAACCGGATCACAGCTGAACATCTTCGCTGTTTTCATTTTCTCGGATACGTATTCGATCGACTACATTTCATCCGAGAAGCGGAAGATTGTGATTGGTACGTATAGTGATCCAAAATCCTTACTGAATGCAATCTATGAAAATATGAAACTTGTTGGCAGACAATTGTCAACATTAAAACTATTCGACCAAGAAAAAACAATGATTCGATCTGTATCGAAGGATTCGACGTTACTTTTCAAGTTCCAACTTCTAATCGATCTCTTGAGAAGAATTCCTCAAGATAGTCGAGCGAAACAAGATCTGATTGATGTTTGGACCGGCTACTCTCGAAACAACACTCGTGAACTGCAAGCTATCCAAAAATTTCATTGGAATTATCAACGAAAAACTGCCGTTTTCTGGTATACATCAAATAGTTTCCTCTATCGACTTGTCAACGAAGCATTTCGTACTGAAGACATTGAATTGATATATTCGTTTCGTTTAATCATTATTGATTTGTGTATTGAAATCGAGCAGCGATATAGAAATATGAAAAATGACAGCACATTGATCCTCTATCGTGGACAACAGATATCGGATCAAGCTTTTGACGATTTCCGAGCAAATATTGGTAAAATTATTATCATCAATGGTTTTCTGTCCACAACGCGAAACATTGACAGGGCATATTGGTTCATTCAAGAGAGAAGAAAATCAGCACAGCAACGCCCAGTGCTCTTCAAAATTCGAGTCAATTCAACTTTAAAAACCGTCCAATTCGCTGACATTAATGACTTGAGTGAGATGGACGATGAAGACGAAGTTTTGTTCAGTCCAAATCCGACTTTCATAGTAGAATCTGTGCAATTTTCTGCAAAATCCGACGTTTGGATTGTTGAATTGACTGGTATCGATAACGGGATGGGAATTATAGATGAGTACATAAAAACATCTCAAGAACAGATTGAGAGTTTTAGCTTGCCCATCGTTTTCGGTCGAACACTTTTACATGAATTGAGGCTACTCGATAAAGCAGAATGGTATTTTGGCATGCTGCTTGAAACTCTCCCTAG